TTTTTGTAACTCGTGTGTTTTTTTAACGTAAACTTGTGTGAATGAGAACTTAGTTTAATACTCACATGCTATGACAGCCGCTTTCTGTCCGTGTGCTCTCAGAAAACTGTATATCAGAAGTTTAAACTAATATGGTTTAAAACGCATGATTTCAGCGCGATAAACATGATAATCAGAACCAAAACAGATGTTTTAGCAGGTCTGAGCTGTAAAGGCGCAGCTCTATTCTGGAAAAGGGGGCGGGTAGCAGCAGCTCATTTGCATTTAAAGACACAGGCCCGAAAAACAGCGTGTTTCTGCTTCCACTCAAAATAGGCATTTTCAAAATGATATAATAAATGATCTGTGGAGTATTTTGAGCTGAAACTTCACAGACACATTCTGGGGACACCAGAGACTTATATTACATATTGTAAAAAAGGGGCATAATATGTCTCCTTTAATAACTGATGTTTTTTATAAACATGCAGCCTTTCGCTTCACAAGATGTTAACTGATGGACTGGAGTGGTGTGGATTTCTTGTGGATTATTGTGATGTTTTTATCAGCTGTTTGGACTCTGATTCTGACGGCACCCATTCACTGCAGAGGATCCATTGCTGAGTAAGTCATGTAATGATAAATTTCTCAAAATCTGTTTCAATGAACAACAAACTCATCTACATCTCAGATAGCCTGAGTGTGAGTAAATGTTAAGCAAATTTTCATTTTTGGGTGAACTATTCCTTTAATGAAAACTAGGTCTATCAAGATTCAAAATGAAAGCAAAGCAACATAAAAGTATCCTAAAAGTAAACCTTTCCACTAATATGCTATTGCTATATAAGTCTATTGAAGTCATATGATGGCTTTGTGTGAGAAACAGATGAAAGTTTAATTTGTTATTCACTGAAAATCTTGATATCCGCCCACGATTCATTATTTCGAGTCAGATCTTTTCAGTGAATCATTTGATACAGATCACATTACCAGTCTATATGAATTGTTCACAAAAGTCCATTGGATCAGAAGATTGGTTGTGAATAACTTAATTTTGGTCTGTTAATCACATAAAGCTATAAAGCATAATAAAGCTGTTAGTCTCTTATTTATTGGTGCTGTATGGAAAAGTGTGACTGGGACATTACGGAAAAAATGTCTCCATTTGTGTTCCACAGAAAATAGAATGACGACAGAAACATAAAAAAAACATTCTAATAACTTTTAGTATTTTGAATGATCAAAGTACTACAAAAGAAAAAGCTAAGACATCAGCTGAAATGCAACATAAGTTATGTATGTATAAGTATGTTGGCATAACTCACCGTGATCGGTAGCGTCTCTGAGAATACACCAGCAGGTACTTCACTCTCAGAAGCTCGTTGTTAGTCACCACAAAGTATTTCTCGGGCACCTCACCTCCTTCACTGTTCCTGGCCCTCAGACGCTTATGGTCAATGCTCTTGGAGTCTGAAACACACAACGAGAGATGAATTTTAGATATCTGCTGCGATGGAATCTTATTGGACACAAAATTGGAATAAAGATCAAATCAGTGTTTGTTTGTTTTTATTTTGTTGAAAAGAATGTAGCATAGTACTGTTTGAAAGATTGTTGCATACATACTGTTCCACATATGAAAAAAAAAAAAACTGTAGGGGAGAGTGGGGTAAGATGTGCCATCCCCTTATTCTAGCAAACTATGCATAATTGGTCACAGAACAATATAATTAGAAAGAGAAAATCTGACAGACGTGCCTTTTTATTTATTAAATAATGTTTTTTTTTTATTATTAATTAATTAATTAGTTAATTCATTCATTCATTCATTATTTTTTTATTTATCTAGGGAAAAAAATGTATCGGCCATAAAAAAAAAAAAAAGACTGGCTTGTCATTATGAATTGTAATACAATGCATATTAAAAAAAATTCTGGCTGGTTTATGAAAATGTGAATAATAATAAAAGAAGACTTATCTCCCTAATTTTATTTTTTTATTGCCTACAGGACAACTTAAATAAAAAGTGGCACATCTTACCCCACACACCTCTATATACTACAAAATACACTAGTATTCCATTACAAACACGGGCGTGTTATCAGTAGTTATTACACGGCTCTGTGGAATACTTGATTCTGATTGGTCAGTCGCGACATTCCGAGGTATGTTATCCCTCGATAACAACCGGTAAAAGCTAATAACACAGGCTCATCCGGGTAACAGCAGTCGGCGCTGTACTCTTGCTTGAACTATTTTTTCTTGGTTTAGCTAATAAAATATTAAAACTCGATTCAAAATGGTGTACAATTATTTAATTATGTCATCCTGGTATCGCGGACTCGCTCTCGTTTCATACAAACGCAGCTGCTGCCATTTTGCTACGATTGTTTTATACGCTGTAATGGATTATAAGAGAACTAACAAACTGGTAAGGTTTTAAAACATTTTCGTCTTAATTCTTTTACTGCCTTAGTTATTTTTGTGGTGAAATGTTGTATAATAAGTGGTTTGACTGCACCGTTTCCCTTAAATGGCCGTCTAGTTTGAATTTGCCGCTTGCTCGCAACTGCTGTCTTCACGGAAGCTTTGCGTTCAAATATTTCAACTCAAATCAATATTTCGCATCTAATTATTTACTTATGTGGCAAGTAGCCATGTAATAAGCGGGATAATGTACATCCAGCCGGTTGTTATCTCAGAATAAACCCCTTCAGGCTGATACAAGACCTGATCACCCTGTCAGGGTTTATTCTGAGACAACCGGCTGGATGTACATTATCCCTTACTTATTTCAACATGGGAATGGCTCACAGATATGAACATTTAGATTTCTGAATTGATCAACAATCAATATATCAACAGCTTAAACACATACACTACTTTTTTTTTTTTTGAAAGAAATTAACACTTTCACTAAGCAAGGATTCATTTGATTGATCAAAATTGACAGTAAAGACATTTATAATGTTACAAAATATTTAAAAAATTAATAAATAAAAAATGCTGCCAAATTTTCTATTCATCAAACAATCCTGAAAAAAATGTATCACGGTTTCCACAAAAATATAAAGCAGCACAACTGTTTTCAACTGTTTGACAATAATAATAAATGTTTTTTGACCAGCAAAGACTGGAGTAATGATGCTGAAAATTCAGCTTTACATCAAATGATTAAATTACATTTGAAAATATATTCAAATAGAAAATAGTTATTTTAAATAGTAATAATATCTCAGCAATATTACCATTTTTACGGAATTTTTAATCAAATGAATGCAGCTTAGGAGAGCATAAGAGGCTTCTTTCAAAAACACTAAAAAATCTTACTGACCCCAAACTTTGACAACTTACCTTTCTTCTTCACCTGACACTTTACATCAGGATGATCAATGATTTCACACAAGGCAACGCAGCTGATCAAAGGCCCGAGAACGCTTTCCCTCCATCCGTTACCATGAGGACTGTAAAGGATGGCCATGCTGAGGTCACTGGTCAGGTATGTGCCCTCCCCAAACAGTGAGGTCTGAAATATCAAATCATAACCAAAGATAAGTGGCTTACATCATTTTTAATTACAGTGTAACTGCTGAACCAGCAAGCTGATAACACTGGAGTTATAATTATCCTTTTCCCACATATCATCTAAACATGAACTGATAAGGGAGTCAAACACTTATTTGCAGTCTTCTATAATAATCAGAAAGCCTGCCTGGAGAGCATCCAAAGCAGGTCTAAAAGACCCTCATCCACCAGCACGGCCTGTCCTGACCTTATTGAGATGGCAGTGTAATCCGTTATGTATGATGGAGTGGAAGTTCTCCAGTCTGCTGCCGTGGAATGCATAGATGAGCTCTCGTCCGGCCCGCGTCCGCTCGAACTTGGAGTTGAGCAAATCACAGTACTGCAGTTCAAAGAGGAAGTCTGGAGCCGGAGCCGAAACGCCCTCGCTTTGAGTCAGCTGGCTGAGTCTGGCAAACTGATGGAGGGAGATTGAACACAAGTGGACTAAAATACATCCAAAACTAAATAGACTAGTCTAGACTCTGAATGACTAGTCCAGAATACCAAAACCAAATGATTTATATGGTATTATGTTCTTTTACCATTCTGATTTTCCACCAATGCAATGAAATATCACACTAAAATGAATCTTACAAGTCTTACTAGTGAATCAGTCAAACGATTTAATCCCATTCCTGAACGAATTCCTGAATCAGAAACATAGAGTGCTACCAGTGTAGTCCAGTAATGACTCTTATGAACTGGTTCTGTTTTTAGATGAATCAAATCATACAGTGTGACTAGTGTAGAACAAACTAATGACTCTTTTTAGTGAATCATAAACATAAGAGTGCTTCTGGTGTGGATCCATCCCCAAACAAATTATTCTCATGAGACGGTTCTTTTAGTGAATCAAAAACATACAGTGTGAACTGTGTAATCCAAACTAATGACTCTTTAATTATAAAGTTTAGAATTTTTGGAACTATTGACTTTTTTATATTGAATCAAATCATACAATCTGACCAGTGTAGTCTGAACGAATGACTTAATTTTTATTACTGAATCAGAAACACAGGGTGCTACCACTGTTGCCCCATACTCAATCGAATGATTCTTTTGAACCAGTTCTTTTTATTGAATCAAAACCATAGAGCATCACCAGTGCAGACCGAACTCAAATCTCTTATGAACCACTTATTTTTTTGTGAATCATACACAGAGAGTGCAAACAGTAATGCTCCATTCCTAATCAAATTATTATTATGAGTTGGTCATTTTTAGTGAACCGCAAACATACAGTGCTTTAAGTGTTGATCCATCCACGAACAAATTATTCTTTTGAGCTGTTTTTGTTTTAGTGAATCAGAAACACAGAGCGATACCAGTGTAGTCCAAACGAATGATTCTTATGAGTTGGTTCTTTTCAGTGAATCACAAGAACAGAGAGCAAACACTGTTGATCTATCCTCGAATAAATTATTCTTATGAGCCGGTTCTTTTTAGTGAATCACAAACATACAGTATGATCAGACAGAGCAGTCCAAACTAATGACTCTTATGAACCGGTTCTTTTTATTTATTTATTTGTGTTCTTGAATCAGAAACACAGAGCAAAATCAGTGTTGCGCTATCGCTGAAAGAATGAATCTTATGAGCTGGTTACTTTCAGTGAATCATAAACACAGAGTGCTTGTGTAGATGCACCCTGAACAAATGACTCTTATGAACCGATTCTTTTTAGTGAATCATAAACACAGAGTGCTTGTGTTGATGCACCCTGAACAAATGACTCGTATGAACCGATTCTTTTTAGTGAATCATAAACACAGAGTGCTTGTGTTGATGCACCCTGAACAAATGACTCGTATGAACCGATTCTTTTTAGTGAATCATAAACACAGAGTGCTTGTGTTGATGCACCCTGAACAAATGACTCGTATGAACCGATTCTTTTTAGTGAATCATAAACACAGAGTGCTTGTGTTGATGCACCCTGAACAAATGACTCGTATGAACCGATTCTTTTTAGTGAATCATAAACAGAGTGCTTCTTGTGTTGCTCCATCCATGAACAAATGGGGAGCCGGTTCTTTTTTTCATAGTTTGAACTTATGCCTTTTTGAACAGTCTCTTTTTAGTTTTGTTGTAACAAGTGGAATAAGTAATTAATTAATTATGTATCTGAACAGAGTGCTGAAAGCATTCAATAAAACTGCATTGCTTTCTTTTTTCCATTGCAACTTTTCTTTGTATTACAAGAACTTTTTTAAAGAAACATTAAGAGGAATCTGAATCAGATTCATATGCATTATGCACAACTTTAAATGAACTTTAGCAATACCTCCTCTTTCTGCAGGGTCTTCACAGCAAAACTCTTGGAGGAGAGAACCCAGTGCACAAGAGCCAGATGATGATCTCCATCACCGTGTCCCAGACGCACCAGATCTCTCACGTTTGGCAAAGTATCCACATCCTTTTGCTGTGAGGAATATACACAGTATAATCAAAACTCTAAAATGAGTCTGCTTGGAAAGGCCAACAGCACAGAGAGTTTATATCCTTCGAGCGTCTTACCAGCTCCTCAAAGTCCTTGACCTCTCCTCTGAGGTAGCGAGGAGGGAAGGGTCTGAGCGCTGAATCGCGTTTGTAGCTCTGGACGGCGGCTACGAAGAGGCTACAGCGCAGATCCGCCGCTACAGGGTCTCGATGCAGACAGGAGCAAACCAGTTCTCTGACCGCAGCTGTCGGGAGAGGCGGCTGCATTCCCAACACTAAACACACACAACAGATATTCCAGGAATAATAGACAATAAGAAATGATTTTCATGAATGCAAAACATCTAGACTGTGAATCTAGTGTCAAAATATATATATTTTATTTATATATTAATTTATATTTATATTATATTCTATAATAATACAGTAGCAATAATAATAAAAAAATCATATTATATATTTATAAATCATTATATTTTATATTTTCACTATGAGGTAAAACATGTAGAATGTGAGTAGTAGCGTCAAAAATATATTGTGTACATGTATATACAATATATATAGCTTGAAAGATTATTAATTTAAATATTAATTTAAATTTATAATCATTATATCATATTTATAAATGTACATATTTATTTTACATTAATTGTATTTTACATTTTTATATATACACATTTAATATTTAGATTATACACTGAAAAAAATTGTCATATTTTATGCTATTCTATTTTTACCATAGATAGATAGATAATACTTTGTATTATCATTATATGACAAATGTATTTATAAAGTCATTAAAATATTTCCATTAAATAAGTGTGTATACTTGCCATCTTCTTGTGTTAGCTCTAAAAATGAAGTTTGTTAAATAATTAATATAATATATAATATGATTTCAGTAGATGTACGTAAAATGTAAAACATTTAATAACTTTTCAGTGAGACTGATAGCTTTGCAGAGTAGATGCTAACTGGGTTCATATCAGCTAGCCAGCGAACCCCAACCCATAATATAAACTTATTTATCATTTGATCTCAGACTAGGTCCTCGAATATCTGACTGGTTTAACGTAAGTTAATAGTTCGTTTAATAGTCGCTTTGTTTAGCACTGCTGTGTTTGTTTACATGTTAACTTAGCCGGTTAGCTCAGCTACTGTCTCACTGAAGTAACTCACTCAAGCTTCAACACACAAATGATTTGAAAACAGAGTACTCATCACTCTACCTGTACATTATAAAATATCAAACATTTTCCATACATTTATGTATTTTACCTGAAGCTCAGGCATCTGACAGCCACCGGAAGCTAAAGGTGTCCAGCTGCCGCTGCGAACGCGCCAGATTCCACCGGCAGAGGGCGCCATACAGCGAGAGCCAATGGAAGCAATCACTGTACAGACTCAGCTACGCAGAAATGGGACAGTCATTCGTGAAGGACCGCGTATATTCTCTAGTTTTTGTAATGCCACAGCCTTCCTAAATATTCAGACAATATTTTATGTAATTTCTGTGTGATAGGGATTAACACATGTATTGTCTTTACCTCAAATCTACAGTAGCCTATCTACCTGTCTGTATTTCTCTTTTGCTAGGCCTACTTGAGACGATGTAAGAAGCATCTTAGGTCCAAGCGCTGTGTTACCAGCAGTGGCTGAGTGCTGTTGTTTTCATTTAGCTGTAACGGTACAGAGCACTTAATATTATTGCCAGAGGAATTTTAGAGATCAATTATACAGTATATGAAAAAATCAGGTCAATGTTTTGCTGAGGGATAGGATTCAGAAAAAAGACTGAAGATAATTGGCCCAGAATCTACACAGGAAATAATGAAGAATCCATTTTGCTCGACAGTTATACAATGATGAAACTATCTTATATATTATTATTATTATTAAGTAAAATAAATAAATTTACAACATTCCTTTGAACCCCAGTGTAGAAATTACTGTAAGTAATAACATTCTCTACGCATAAAAGGTGATAAATTTATTAAATATAGAGAGAAATATGATATAATATTGCATATATATATATATACACACACACACACACACACACACACAC